CTAAAGACGAAATGTTCAAAAAAAAAAACTTGACTGACTAACAATCATATGCATAGAAAATGAAAAGAAAAAAAAGAAAATTCAAAACATAATCTGATCGTCCTTTGTTTTATTGAATAAAATAGTTAAACTGCGAGTCAACACATATAAATTATAGAAGAACATGTTAAAGATTATTGAATTTTAGTCTAGTCTGAAGCAATTTTCAATAGATATGAGTTTTTATATAAATATGATACTATTTATTTATTAGTGTTTTATTCTTAAAAATTAAATTCTATTTAATTATCTTCAAAGAAGAATCAATTTTCGATCTATTACATTGAAATATAAGAAAAAGAATATGCGAGGAAATTATGACTGATGAATACTTGTTTTTGTTTTTGTTTTTGGAATTATTTGTTTAGTATAGATGAAGAGTAAATATTTGAAAATAAAGCGGCAAGACATCGAAGAAAAAAAGTGTCAAAAGCAATAAATCTAGAAAATAAAAATTTTTAATATTTTTTAACAATTTCTTATCTTTAATTCGAATCTAATAATACTTGTTTAAGATCTTTTTTTTGTTAAGTCTTTCATGTTAGTATGAATTATAAGAATCGACATGAGTTATATATAAAATGTTATCAAATTATCTTCTATAATATTTGACGAAAGATTTCCAGAGTTAAGATATTCCAAAACTATGATTAGTTTTTTCGAAATAATGGAATTCATTTCTCGATCAACTTATAATAATTTGAAAGATGATTGATTGAACTTTAAAAACTTGTTATTATTTCAAAATATCTGTTCTTTCACGAAAATACCTAAATAAATGGTCGAATTTTACATGTAATTTCAAGAGATTTTTCCTATCAAGATGATTCTCATGTATCATTCTTTCATAGCATTGTTGCGCTTGTTTATGTTCATTTATCAAGTACAGAATTCAAATTAGTGTCACCATCAGCTATGTTTTTCACGTAAGAAAATATTTCTTTTAAATCTTAATCATTTTCACTTGGTAATGATAGATGTGTCATCCATATTCCTTCCTCTTTATTTACTTATTAAATCCAAAATGATGTAGAAGTTAATCGAGAAAAATCAAGAGTAGCTAATCGATAACGATCTGTTGATAAAAAACAACTTAAAAATTGCTTTTCTTCATTAATTCAAGTTGATCATTTTCAATTATTCGACTACGATAAACTCAAGCATTATTTCGATATTTACTTGATACAAAGTGTTCATTAGTTTTTAAGAAGATAGAAATAGTATCAGTTTTTAGTAAATTTTCTGTAGAAAAAATAAGCAATAATAGATCATCAACTTTGTTCCTTAGAATTGAAAAAAGTAAATATTAACATCTTTGTTCAATACGAAAAAAATTGATTATGTCACAATAATAAACTTTGTACAACAATGTTTATTATTAAAATATTTATGTTCTATATTAAATATTTATTCGACAATGAAGTGAAGATATTAATCAATAGAGAGTTTCAGGAAAACAAATTATATCTTCTACTACAACTTTTATTCTTAAACAACGAGAATTTGTTGAGAACAACTACAAATTTATTTAATCAGTTACAGTGTGAATTTTTTTCACAGTTGTATTGCTAACATGAACCAATACATTTGATCATCTTAGTCACTTTGTTTAAGAATAAAAGTTGTAGTAGAAG